GTGCGGTTAGGATCCATCCTTCTGACCTCGCAGAAAACAAGATATGCCACAGGAGGGGAGGATTCGGGGACCGCAGATGAAGGAGCTCAGGGGAAAGGGTCTCTCCTGCAAGAGCCTTCCTGCAGAGCGGAGCCGCAGCGAGCAGCAGGAATCGCTCTCCTGCCACCCCAGGGCAGGCTGTGCTCCACCTTTTCTCACCGGCAGAGAGGAACATCTACTGGAGACGTTCCCAGAAGGAATCTCAAGCAAAGCCCAGAAACAGGAGGTTTCCTGCTACTGCGTCAGGGCAGCACGGTGCACTGTCCGGCCTCCCAAAGGCCGGCTCTGAAGACGCGAGGCTGGACGCCGGGTCCGCGTCGCTGCCCCCCCAACAGCACCCGGCCTTCGGCTGCTGACCTGCGCTTCCAGAGGATGCGCAATGGAAACAGCCTCCTGCTTTACAGTCGCAAGGCACCAACAGCCGCCGGGACACGCTGAGGGATCAGGGTTGCTTACCAGGTGCTTCTCCGGAGAAGAACGGCCAACGGTCCCATCCGCGCACAAGCTTAGACACACTTGCTCTGCTCCTCTAATTCATAACTGGCCTCCACTCTGTGTGAGCATCTAAAATCTAATCTTCTCGTAACTCTATTTATTAGCTCCAGCAAAGCCTGCAGATTACAAAACACTCGCTCTTTTTTCTTGCGTGAACAAGCCAATTAAGGCCAACGCTGCTGCAGTGAGGCTGAGCCTGCTTGGCCGGTCCTGAGCCCTTATTAGCACCGACAGGATCGGGGCTTCCCCGCAGCCAAGGCAGAAGCAGCCTTGCACCGTGTCAGAGGCTGGATGGGCGAAGAGACTGAAATCATTTTGAGGCATTTCCCTTGGTCGAGCAGCTTCAAAACAGCGTTGCTAATTAATTTAATTATAAGGCATTGAACACTTCCCCAAAGAGACGTGCTGAGAGGATGCAAGCTAATTTTAAAATCATAACAACAATCTATAACTTAATCTGCTCATTTCATTATCTTCAGCGTTGATGAGGAGCTCAATTAAATGCGTTTATTGTTGCAACAAGCTAAGCTAGAAAGCATACTTCCATTATGTGTTTTTTCTTTTCTTTCTTGAAGGAGAGGCCAGGAAAGCAAATACCTCTTGTTTCTGATGAGTTAGAGCACAGTCCCATCCACGGAACCTTACTGTCTGAAAGAAACAGCTTTCTGAAACACCACATCCGAGTCCCTCACCAGAGTAAGTCAGAAAAGTAATTAAGCACTGAATTTCTCCTGGGAACAGCTAGAGAGACTCAAAGAAATGACGCCTTCAATTCTGATTGTGCTAGAGAATGTAGTACGGGAGCCTAATTCAGTAGGGAAAACACTAAAGAAATGATTGAAAGATGGTCGCATTTTCACTCGGAGTACTCTGGCACAGAGCAAGCATCTTAGCAGTACCCAAGCGAACGGCACAGGAGGCTGCAGGGCTGCCAGCCCCATGCAGAGCTCAGCTGCTGTGGGAAGGCAGGGACCCCTGCCCACACGCCCACGGCAGCTCCCCAAGGCACCCACAGCTCCCCGCAAGCCACCGGAGCCCAGGAGAAATTGCCATGACTCTAGAAAAGCTGCGCTGAGGTTTCTCTCTCCAGCAGGCAACGCTCAGAGGGCCCCAGGAGCAGATCCCGGCAGCTCTGAGAGCGGCCGCGGGCTGCACCCAGAGCCGGCCCCTCCTTGCATCCCTGACTTTGGAGACAGGCTCTGTTCTGGGGGGGTTCAAGAGGAACGTGTCGCTGTGTGCTCACGGCCAGGTCCGTCTCCCAGACTCTGGAGCGCGCTGTCACCTTGTCACCAAGCCCTGGATTTCCCCAGACCTCCCTGAAAGCAGCAGCCCCGACCTGGAGCCAGCCCCTCCGGCGGTGACCTCCCAGCGAGGCTCCCAGCATCCCGATGCAGGAGGCTGCTGGAAACGCCAGCGGACAGGGCAAGAGCAGGGAGAGGAGGGAAAGGATCTGGAATCAAGTTGGTTCAACTCCCTGCCTAGAGAACTATAATATACTTTCTCTATAGATAAAATGTAAACATAAAGAGCATACAAATTGCACTTGATCCTTGGGATCTGGCATTTCTACCAAATGAAGGTTTCGGTTCACCGTTATTACTCTTCTGGGTGTGAAACAGCAGGATGGCGAGTGACCAACCAGTCTGGACACGTGCCAAACTTAAAGACAAATTATTTCTGTTAAAAAAAAAAACCTAACCACGTGAGAACGGGGAATGTTGTTTAAACTGCAGAGGCGGCAGGAAGGAGAGAGCTTGTTTACCCTGGAGAGCAGCAAACTCCCTGGAGCGCGCCCAGCACTCGCACGCTGCCAGGGCAGCTCCGTCTGCGCCCGCAGACCCAAAAGGAGCCCAAAACCTGGGTGGGGGAAGGTGCCCTTCTCCCTGCCAGCCTGCAGCGCTGGGGCTGCAGGACCCGAGCGCGGCTGGGAGCGCGTGGTGCTCACCACGGCACTGCCTGGGAACGCTGGCACAAGGCAGAAAATTGACAAACCTGGCACCTTCTTGAGACCACTGGTCGGTGAAGTTCAGGCAGAGAGTTCTGATCTCTGATGCAATCAAGCTAAAATATCTGAAAAAAGTGAAATCTTGTCATTCGCGAGCACTCCTGGACCCAGCCTGGCCACGCAGCCGAGCCAGAAGAGCCCGAAGGCCAGTGAAAAGGAAACCACCGCGAATGAGGCTTTACTAAACAGAACCTGGATCCCTACAGTAACGTGTTCTGCGAAGGCCAGCACACCCAGGACATCCACCAGCACCTACGGTTGTGCCGCCCTGCTTAAGCATGACCAGGAGAGAAGGAAGATGCCCGAGCAGGGCAGGTGCTGTGCCGGCCCCGCAAGAGGCTGCCTTAGGGCCCTTCGCTCAATCGTCATTTAGATCCTCATCCCCTCGGAGCAGGCTAACAGGAGGATCTGACTCGAACAGATCTCCAGCCACACTGTGAACATCTCCCACACCATTCCTTCCCTTTGTAAATCTTTGCCTTTCATCATTAATAATTCACTTGCAATACTTACAGAAGATAATAAAAGGCCTACAAAACTCTGTACAAGGCTGCAAAGACCCATTTAATTAACTAACTTCAAGGAAACTTGTATTATTAAGCAGATGCTATTTATGTCTACTGTCAGGGATCAGGCCTGCGTCAGCGGGAGCTGCCAGCGTGCAAGGCAGGCAGTACTGCACTACCGTCTGCAACAAAATAAAGTGCTGATGTGCCCTGGTTTGCCTGGATTGCACAGCAGGATTTCAGGGATCCCACGGATGCAATGGTCGGTTCTGCCCAAGCCCCGTGCGCGGTCCCTTCAGCACAGCCCCTGCACCCGCTTCAAACACCCAGACCCGGGGTGCAGAGGCTGTGGGTGCTGCGGGGCTCGCTGGCACTGCAGCCCTCCGGCACGGATCTCCGCCTAGTTGTTACCCTGCGGTGGAAAACTGGTGCCCTGGCACGGCCAAGCAGGACACTCTGGGCAGGCTGCTGCCTTTCCCTGCCCTGCTCCCGACCGGGCACAGGGCAGCCGGCGGAGGAGGGGAAGGGCACTCGCTGCAGCTGAGGTGGCCCTTCCAGCGGCCGGGGGCACGCTGCCCGAGCAGACATGGGAAGCATCCACCCAAAGCACAGCCATGCCCGCTACCTGTCTGACTCCAAACCAATTCCCCGGTTTTCATCCCATTTCTAGCTGAATTGGGAGGTTCCTTTCTGCTGCTGTGGGTTGAATTAGTGCTGTTCATAAAACCTTTTCCCCTGCAAAAGCTTCCAGACCTAGAGAGGGAAGAGCACTTGTCCATCTACCGCTCTGAGGCAGAGCGGACACCTCTGAGCAGGATGCTCCGGCTCAGCCGACAGCAGGGAGTCCCCAGGCCCTGGCATCGGCCCACGGCTGTGGGCACACAGCGACGCTCTGCCTGCTCTGCTCCGCAGCCTAGGGCACAGCAGTCAGAGCCCATCACAGCTGCCCACAAAGCCAGCGAAGGCAAGATGCAGGATGCTCTGCCCGCCAAACTGCATGGCAAGAAGCAGGGAAGAGAGGCTAAAGTAGCAACAGACGCTTTAGCATCAGTCCTGCGCGGGCCACAGGTCTCTGCGGGCAGCAGAGAGCTGCCTGCTGTTTTGCTCTGGTCTGTAAGTTCCCACCCCACTGCTGGGCTCCAGCAGTAAAACGAGGGACCGAGACCGGCACAAAAGGCAGCGAAGGCTGAGAGCATCAGCAGGGCAGCCCAAGGGCTCCACTGCTTGCCCTCTCTTGGCTATGGCTCTCTTCATCAAAGCTTTTCATTTCTTCCCCTGAAATTATCTTGTCAAGAGAGCCTTAGAAACCATTCGGCACCATTTGCTCTGCACTTTAGTGGAGAATATTTGTTTTTGTTCACCAACTGTGGTGTCAAGACTCAGTGAAGTAACTCTTGGAGCGGAAGGGACGCAGCTGGTAAAGAGTTTCCTTCAGCATAGCAGATGGGGAAAGTCACCTTCCAGAAGTTGGGCGCTGGGTGTGAGCTGTGCTCCGGTCTCTAAAAATAAAAGCAATAAAAGCTCCTTGTGGGGTTGCTAGAACATGTCAGGTTGTATAAAAATACCCATGGATTTCACCAGTAGGATGCTAGATAAGAAAATGCTGTCAGCTCTAGATTAAGACAGTGCACAAATGTCCATCCACCCTGTTAACCTAATTACCACATGAAATGGCATCATTACAGTTTGACTCATCTTACAAAACAGTGCTAGGGAGAGCCACAGCCACCTAGGCACACCGCACACGTCCCAGGAATCCTTGCCTTCCCTGGCACCGGGGACGGGAAGCCCTGCTCTCTTGCCACGTGGAATGACTTGTTTGGCAGCAGCCCAGTGATTCCTACATCCCACCTGAAACTGCGAGGTTTCAGAGATTTGGTCCAGTTTGGGGCCGGCGGGCTGTCTCCTCCCCGGGAGCGCCGGGTCAGTGCTCCGCGCCTCCGCAGGGGGCTGCTTCACACCTGCACGCCTCGGCCGTGCATTTGGATCACCTGGGCCCGGAGGGTCTGGATCCCGCTCAGGATGGTCTTCTGGTGCTCCGCCAGCGTGATCCCCAGGCTGAGGACATCTCTGCAAAACAAACCCCGCGTCAGCCATGAAAAACAAAGCCCTAACTGTAAAGTGCCCCGACACCGACTGCTCCCAGGCAAGGGCAGCGCAGGTTTCAGACTATCAGGCTACTGCAGACCTGCCAGAGTAAGAAGTCCCCAACTTGTTGTCCCAGCCAAAGCAATGCAGACCTGACTGGGAATCCAGGGGTAACACATGCAGCACACCAAGCGTGAGATGGCTCCTGGCCCTGCCGCCGGCGTAACAGGTTATCAGTAAATTGCATTCGATTTGACTCTGCTTTCTGGAAGGGACAGGCAACACTACTTTTGCCAGAAGCTACAGGTTTAAATCTCAGCTTCAAAAACCACCAAGATGCACAACACACGCAGCCCAGCTCACAGTGAGCTCTTACAGCCGTGTTTTGGAAGATCTGTCCTCTTGTTTAGCGACACCTGACTGTAACTGCAAAGCAGAGCTCGCTCACGCTGCACCCAGCGACATGAGGTTATAGCCAGGAAACCAGTTCACTTACTGGGCTGTCATCCTGGCCACCGATTCCAGGTAGCAGTAGCCCGCAGCGGTGAAGTTGTCTTTGTACCTGCCCATTTCTATCGCTTCCAGCCACTCGCCCACCGAGCTGAAAGACGGGAAGGCTGAGAAGGTCTGCTCGGTGAGGGGGATGGACGTGCTGTGGGACCTGCCAACAAAACGGGGCGGTGAGGAGGGAGCGGGGCACGGCACGCCTGAGGTGGGAACCGGGGGGCAAAGCAGGACAGGCAGCAAAGCGAGAGGGCGGTCACCTGGTGCACATGGAGCTGGGGCACTTTGGGGGCTCCGGGCTCTGCACCATCTTGCTGAGGATGTTGTGGATGTGCGAGAACTTGGGTCTCTGGTTGCGGTCCTTCTGCCAGCAGTCGAGCATGAGCTGGTGGAGGGGTGGCTGGCAGTTCACCGGTGCGGGCAGGCGGAACCCGTCCTCCACAGCCTTCATCACCTGCAGCGGCAGAGGAGGGCAGAGGGACGGGGTCAGGCACTGCAATGCAGATCCCTGGTGCAAACCTCCCTCCTCATACCCCGCCTGGGGAGCAGCAGCAGCTCCGCCACGCACCACAGAGCCACCTGCACACCATTAGCAATGACAACATCGTCATCTACCGCGTGGCTGCCGGGGACTCACGTCCTGGTTGGACATGTCCCAGTAGGGTCTCTCGCCGTAGGACATGACTTCCCACATGACGATGCCGAAGCTCCACACGTCGCTGGCTGGACTGAAGTGGTGATACTGGATGGCTTCGGGGGCCGACCACAGCACCAGGCTCTTCCCACACTGGATGGGCAGAAGGGGAGAAACGACGTGCTCGCACAGCAGGACATAGCTGCGGCACGCAATTCCCGGGCAGTCGTTCATCGTGCCCTGCCCAGCATCGCAGGGTGGACACCGAGCAAGCCCACATGCCACATGCAGGTTTAGTACTAGGAGAAAACTTTTGCCTCAATTTGTTTTAAAATGGTCATGCAATCATATGCTGCATGGGAGTGCGAATCCTGAAATATTAATGGGAGAGGAGAATGTCTCTGGGAAGAGCTGATGGCATTTTATACATTAATATTTAATGAAAACCATTTCAGAGCTGTGCAAACACACAGTCCCTCCACCCTGGCTTGCTCTCCTGTAATTAGCAATCCCGTCTAGGCATCTGCAGAGCTCTCTGGATGCACTAGGGGAAGCAAGTGACAGACACCGCACCTAATTGTAATTAACAGCAGGGAGACCTTGACCCCAAAGCCACAGCCCCGCTGCACCGCACGGGCTCAGCGGGCTGCTCCGTACCCGGCAGCACGCCAGCGCCAGGGCGACTCTGCTCGAGAGCTTTGCGGCACAACAGCCACGGCTGAGCTACAGCTCTGCAGGCAACGCTCGCCACGTCCAGCGAGGGGGGGTTGCGCTGTGCCAGGGACTCTTTGGGACGGTGGTGGTCTCCCTACGGAGCGCACAGAGCATGCCTCCCTGCAGCTACTGATAATGGCTGCAAAAGTTCTCCAAGACTCTTTCTGCCACCAGCCTGCTCTGAGCTGGCAAATGACTGCGGCTCCTGGCAGAGCGTGGGCCAAACCCTGCAGACAGGCTCTTGCCCCTGGGACACCCAGACCCCGCACTGGGACACAGGCACCGGGTCCCTGCAGGCAGCGCACATCAGCTGCTGCCTCCTTGGCGCTGCCCAGTGCTCCCTGCAAACAATAAATGCTCATTTGATTGAGGAATCAATGCTCTTTAAAATATTAATGCCTGGTTAATGTGATGCACTAACAGCCCCAGCTGATACCGGGCGGCTGCAGGGTACCAAATGAAATACAGCTTATTGCTCTGTGGTTAGAAATGCATTGACGCAGCCTCAAGTGAAACGCGCTGAAGCGGTGTGTGGAAGAAGCGGGGACGGGGAGTCGGCTCCAGCGAGGGGCTGCGGGGCCTCGGGGGCCCACGGGGTGCCCGCCCAGGTCGGCAGGCAGGGGCAGCCCCCCGGCTCCATGCCCAAGGGCTCCCGGGCAGCTTCTCCAAGCGCACACAGGCCCTTGGGAGACACGCTGGCTAGCAGAGCTGATGAGGCATAAGGGTGAATCAAGCAGGACTTAAATTCTTAATTGAAAACCATGAATTTCATTACAAGTGATAAAACAGACATAAGGAACCCTGAGGCTGCCAGGGCTGCCTGCAGCCACCCACCGCCTCTCTGCCAGTTCGTGCAGACGTGCGGCAAGAGCGGTGCTGGGCAGCTGCTGTGAAGTTCCCTGGCTAAACACATTTGATTTCTAGCCGAGAAAGAAGCTGTTAAGATGCAGAGCCTGCATTCATACATGAGGAAGAACATAGGAGCCTAGGAAAAATACTGGTTCTGGAGTAGGATTGCTATATGTGTTATTAACTCCACCTGTGGAAGCTGGCTGGCTTTGGATTTGATCCTTATTCAGCATTCAGAGCAGGCTGAAAACCTCTCCAGTGATGCCAGCCCCCGTCCAAGCACTCCTGGCCATGGCCGTGCATTGCAGCCAGGGAGATCCACCTCTGCGGAGGTTTTGTAGCCGTTCTGTCAGCATTTTGCTTTCGGGGAATGTTGACAATAGAATTTGGAAATGCAGCTTACCATGGTGGAGAAGATGGTCTCCATCTTATCTTCTTGTGGCCGCCTGAAACCAGTTATTTTGCAAGCCAGGCTGCTGTTCACAAGGACTTTGTGGGCAGCAAGGCTTTTATGTATGTAACCCATCTCTGCCAGGTACTTCATGCCAGAGGCAATCCCCTGCAGCATGCAAACCAGCTGGGTGGCCGTGAACTGTCCCTCGTGTTTCTGTAAAAAAAAAAAAGAGGACAAGCCAAAGGTGAGTGATGCCCAGTTCAAGGGGGCACCGCCAGCAGAGCCCCAGCGGGTGGCAGACCCCAGAAGTTACCGCCGGCTCCCACAGCACTCACCCTGAGAAAAGAGTCCAGCACACCGTTGCCCATGTACTCCATCACTATCATCATGGTACTCCCTGCACGGACAGACAAGGAGCAGCGCGTGAGTCCTGCCCGTTGCTCAGGCAGCTCTAACACTGCGGGGGTTAGAAATCCAGGTGCTAACCTCCAGCGCGGTCAGCCTGCGCTGCCTGGCTATCAAGGGAGGCAAGGACTTTATCTCAGACAGTTTGCAACAAGCAGTGGGTCCGAGGCTTTCTTGTCATTCCCAGCTGGGATCCCACTGGATCCCAATATCAGAGGCTCCTTTTATCAGGGCACTGAACCACATCACAAAGGAGGACAGCACTACCCAGTGAAAGCAAAAGCAACCAGCTCAGCCCAAGACTCAGGACAGAAATACTTCCTTACCTAATAAAAAGGCTTGTTAAAATCAGCACACGTGCCCACGTTTCTTTGGATTTACATGAATATCCATTTAACTACAGCATCCACAGACTAGTTCAGCACACGCACTCCCACGAGAGCCCGGAGCAGTCAGAGTCATCTGTTTCACTGACAGAACCTCACTTCAATTTGCTTTTATTAAGAGCGCACGGTTTTGCTGCTAAGCCAGTCCTACTACCTGGATTTATTAATCTAGCTGTAAGCATTTTATTAATCATCAGAATGCTAAAATAGCTAAGACATGAGGAAACACCTGATTTCCAGAGAGCCAACAGTACCGCACCACCAGCACCAGGTCACCGCTCCAAAGCGACAGCTGAAGCACATTGCCTGCCCAGGAGCCTTCCCCCACTGCGCGTGGCTCAGGCCGCCCCGCGGCGTCCAGCCCGGGACCCCCCTCACCTCTGGTGATGACCCCCTCCAGGCGGATGACGTTGGAGTGATCAAACTGGCCCATGGTGCACGCCTCCGCCAGGAAGGATCGCTGCTGCTTCTCCGAGCACCCTGCCCGCAGGGTCTGGATGGCCACCGGCAGCTCTCGCTTGCTGGGCAGCTTCAGGCATCCCCGGCAGATTTCTCCAAACTCTCCTGCACAGCAAAGAGATGAGTTAAACAGCGTCCATGGGAGGACGCCCCTCGCAGCCCGCTGCTCAGCACCGCGCCTTCCCAGAGGATCCCTGCAATCGCGCTCACACCGCTCCTTCGTGCGCTGTCACAGATCCCTCTGCCATTTCCAGATCGCGAAAGAATGAGCTACCTGCTAGCTGACTTCATGGCTTCCTCACAGCTTTTGGTATCGTTGTGTAAGGGCAATGTTTTACTGAGCGGTTGCAATGCACTATAAAGACAGGTTATGTGTATACGCACACCTGCTACAAAGCAAAGGGCAGCAGTTCTCTTCTGGGAAGTCAGCTTCCCTTTAGGGGTTATCTTCTTGCTTTGGGACCATAAAGTGCATTTCTGTAGCACGAGGGATGTGTCTTGCTGTGGGTGCTAGGCGTTGGAACAGGCTGCCCAGGGAAGCGGCGCAATCACAGTCCCTGGAAGTGTTCAAAAAACGTGTGGATGTGGTGCTTAGGGACATGGTTTAGAGGTGGACCTGGCAGCGCTAGCTAACGGTTGGACTCGATGATCTCAGAGGTCTTTTCCAACCTTAATGATTCTATGACTTTCCCATCGTTAATCACAGGATTTGCCAATCCATAAACTCAGAAACACGTGGAGCCCTGCATGGCTGCAAGTTTCCCCCACAGAGTCTGTTTTGCCATCTTCCCCCACCTTTGCTGAACACACAACCCTTCCCACAAGTTTAGCATCAGCATGTGATACTAAAAACGTGTGACAATGCAACGCAATTGCTTCTTCCTCTTCCTACACCTTTAAGCCATTCGTTCCACGCTCTGCTCAAGTGCATATTGCGCTTTTTCCCCACGAGAAGAAGATTAACCCCCCGCCCTCGAGTTCGTGCTCCCTGGGCCTGGCCCATTCTGCTTCCCAGCTCAGCCCGTGCATCTTTGAGCCAGAGCATCCCACTCTGCACAGCCACACTCTTGACAACAGGAGCTATCAAATTCATAACATAAAAGGCCAATATTGCCTTTACAGCAAAAAATGCGTAGCTATGAAAAGCTTTATTGATTTCAAAGCCTGGTACTTGTTAGGGTCAGCAGAGAGACAAACGCACTCCCAAATTCCTTATATTTAAATGTCTTCCTGACTGATTTTTCTTGGTTTTTCCAACACCAATTTGCTTCTGAAAGGTATATGAGATTAGTCTCAGCTGCTCCACTCAGCAGCTACAAAGACAACCTCCTCTTCTCCTCAAGTGTCCTCTTCCCTTCAACACTGTCCTTTAAGCTGGTGGGCAAGCCCTTCCCTCGTCCCTTCCTCCACCTCTTCTTTTTCTGCAGCTGAATTTATCTTTAGAAAAAGAAACGACAAAGAATAATCGTGTTTTCCATGTTCTGGCACACATTAGTGATTAAGGCTTTAGGGCCCAGTGAGGGGATTTTAATTTGCTTTTAAGTTTTAGGCAGTGAAGTTGATGAAAATCAATAAATCATTAGGTTCACATATTTATAAATAGTTTTCATGCTGCTGTCAAACTGCCCAGATGCAGATAATTGCTGATGCTTTCTGGTCCATGCCTCACTCGGTTGGCTGTACTTAGTGCCTCAGAAAAACAAATGGGAATGCGAAATCAAGCTCCCGAACAAAATACTCACCAGCCCCACTCCCATCTCCCTGCTGCGAGCATGTACCCCCCTGGGACAAGAGCAAGAGCAAAGGGCCGCGGCGCTGACGGTGCCAGAGGATGAGGAGCTGCCTTGGCAGCCGCCGGCAAGGCGGGCAGAGCCCACGGACAGCGGCAGGAGGGCCGGCACGCGCTCACGGCACTGCGGGTTGGGCAGCACCGCAGCAGCAACGTCACGGCACTACCGCGGCCCTGCGTGCCGGGGGAGCGCTCCGGCTGGGCACAAGCACAGCCACCTCCCCGCGGCACGGCCACCGCCCCGGTGCCCACCACAGAGGGGCCGGCGAGGAGGAACTTGCCTGTCCCAATGATCCTCTCAATTTTAATACTAGCGTTATCCAGCTCTTTGGCAAAGAGGTGCACGGCCTGCGTGAGGTCTTCGCAAGTGTCAGGGTCGATGTACGTCCTCCTGGTTGGTATTTTAACTGCAGGAAAGCAGAAAAGCACAAAGGGCACATGAGAAAGGCTGGGCAGGGCTCCCGCCTGCCTGTCCCAGGAAACGCACTCGCAGGTTATCCATCTCCAGCTCTGCTGGCAGGATTAACTTGCCACCTTTTTATAAGCAAAGCAAAAGACTTGACTTTAACGTAGCTAGGAAATTTCTTGTGGGATTAAATGATCGTAACCGCTCTGCTCCACTGCCACAACCCCTGGGTTAAAGGAGAGCAGCTCCTTCACTCTAGTGCAGCTCCCTCCCAGACTGAGCCTATCTGCCACTCACGCTAAGCCTCGAGTATCCAAATCGTCTCTGTTCCCAATCTCTAGGAGAGATAATTATAGTAACGAACAACAGCCATGTTCCAGGTTCCCTCGATTAGCAGCATGGGCAGCACAATACCTCCCACAGGTGCCTACCATCTGCTGCACGGCAAGCGACCCTGCCTAGGAGCATGTCCAGGAGAACTGCGCGGAACGAGGCTGACCTGCTTACAGCAGCCCCTGCGAAGCTCCCGAGGGGAAACAGCCGCCCGCTTGCTGGGGCTTCCTCAAAACCCTAATTCACATTTCCTGAAAACGAACAGGCAAAACAACAGCCGAAGCACGTCGGCTCTGCCGCTCGCCCTGCTAGAGCGCTGCCGTGTCTCCTCCTCTCCCTGGGCGAGGCAAGGAGGGCGACGGATGTTTGGCATGAGCTGCTTGGCCCGTCCAGGACCAGCACACAGGCAAACGGCGGAGCCCTCCTGCCCCTGGGAAGGGGTCATGGCACGCAAGGCTTCCCTTCCACCTCGGCTCCATTCGCCTTCCCGACACCGGGCAGCTGCCGCGCTCCCCTCGCCCCGCACAGAAAACCTTCAGCAAACTCCCAAGGGCAGCGCAGCAGCACGAGGCCCTTCAAAGCCAGGAGAAACGGCCAAGCTGCATCCGAGAAGCACGCAGGCTCTGCTGCTTCCAAAATGCTTCGGGGAGCAGAAGAGCACGTGTGCGCTTCACGGGCACATGCCAGGAATCAAATAAACTCATCAGTCCTGACATCTGAATTTCCTTTGACAACAGTTGTCTGTAAAATTATTGTTGCTCAATAATCAAGAGTAGCCCCAGAAAACAAAGCTGTATTCTCATGTAGCCGTTTGCGAAAAGCTGACGGAATAATTCACGTGCCCCGTGGAAAGCTGAAAACATCTCTCCATCCTTTGGCACGGCAGTGACCTATGTGCGGGAAGGCTGGACACCGGCTTATGAAGCTGTCAAGCCTGCCATCCCCAGAGAGCCTCGCTGTGCTGAGCCCCTGCTCGGGGATAACGTGGGCTGACAACACTTCTAAAGCAAGGATTCAGGGCTGCTTTGTCAGGAGCTTGGTTATTAATAGCACTAAGTACAGGCATCCCCACGCAGTCATACTGGCCACGGTGGCCAGGCTTCACTTACAATGGAAGTACAGCTCCTCGTCCCCGTCCTGGCTGGCTTTGCTGTACCCACACTGTCTGCAACGAGAACGAAGATGCACACCATTATCTGGGCAGCAGCCTCTCGCTGGGCATAAAAGCCTCAAGTGGCAGCCCTCAGGAAGAGAGTCCAGCCCCACGGCATGAGGAGCCAGCAGGCCATTCAACCCAGCTCCCGCGCTTAGAGCCAGCGCTGCCCCGTGCTCCCGCGAGCCCCTGCTGCGGGGGCTTTGCTTCAGCCCCAGCCCCAAACCTCCTCGGTCAGCGCCCCGGCTCAGCCGCAGCTCCGCTCACCTCCTCCAGACCATCACGCCGATCACCATGGACACCAGCACCGTCAGCCCCGCGATGGCCACCACTGCGATGATGAGGACAGGGTTCTGCTCGCTGGAGGCCACCGTCACTGCGGGAGGGGAGCAGAGCCGGTGGGCAACGCGCCCCAGGGCAGGTCCAAGGCATGGGGGAGCCCCGACTGCTCCTCCCAGTGCCAGCCAGCATCTTCCAGCAAGGCTGTGGGACAATTCGCCCGCAGTGCCAGGTAACTTTTCACTATCCTCACAGCAATTCACGTTCTGGTTCAGTTTTAAAAGCTCAGGCTGGTGCAATCAGACCAACGTGCAGAGCAGTGCTGCAGGAGCGGACGGAGCAACCCCAGCGCTGCCACACCGGGCTCCTGGTTTTGTTAATCAATCAGTGCCAAGGAAAGGTTTATCAGAGGGATGTATTAAAATTTATGACTTACAAATAGTTTTCCTGCATCACATTAATCCCTCCCCTTCCTGCTTTTGCAAACGGGGGTATTAGAAAGCTACATTCTATATAAAATTTTTATTGGCTTCAATTCATTCTGAAAATGTCTTCTGTGTGGCAAATGGATGCAATTTAAAGCCCTGTTAAACACAATCTGTGAGAGTCGTACTGAGCCAGCCATCTCAGGGCTTTCATTTCTAGCCAGGGTGGGTTATTAAGCTGAAGCCCTACCACCTCTCCAAGCCCTCCTTTAGCCAGTGAAATAAGATGCTTCTGGACTATAGTTATGTATGGAAACTGTGAAAAGGAAAAGCCCCAGCAAATAACGCTGATGCTGGCTGACCTCATTCAGCCGAGCAGCTAAGGAGCCAAGTGCCTCATGAGCCAGGATGGCAGCGGAGGTAAGCAGTCGTCTCCTATCTGGGGCACACATCCAAGGCCAGCTGGACCTCCAGGCTGGTCTGGCCTCCTCTGCTGCAGCCTGTGCAGCCGGCTGCCCTGTCTCTGCAGCGCCTGCCGTGGGCTGCACAGCTTCACAGACCCGGGCAGGATCATGCCCTCGGCAGGGCACCAGCCCTCGCTCCCTTCCACCACCTGTTTGGTGGCCCCACAAAAAGGACCTGGTGAGATCTGTTCCAGCACCGACATCATGGCAAGACAAAACAGCGCCCTGTCACTCTGGCTCTGGTAAGCACTTTCTCGGGCAATCTCAGACAAGGAGCAGAGACTCTGTCCCCAGCCTCTACACCAGAGAGGAGCCAGAGACAGGCTGCCCGCACTGATGCTGTGCTGAGAAGAGCAAGGACAGCCACCACAGGCAGACCAGCAGTAGCAACTTTCTTAAAAATCAAATAGGAAAATGCAATTAAAAGCAAGTCCTGGGAAGTACCTTAGACCCAGAGCAGCAGAACCAGAGGAGCAGATGCTGCTCCACAAAACCAAGAGCATCTGGGGCAGGAGCAGCGAGCAGCAGCATCCCCACAGCTCCGCTCAAGGAGCCTCATGCCTGCAGGTGCATGCATAAGGGACGACGAGCTTTGCCAACACTTACACTCTGCCAGCGTCTCCACTTCAATACTAGGGTTGTAGTTTCCATAGTCTGGCGAGGAAGATGTCCGGATTTGGAAAATATAGAGGGTGCCAGGCTTCAGGTTATTGACCGTCACGGCTGTTGATGTGGTTTTCACAGTTGAGTAACTTTGATCTCTCTGATCCTGTGGAATAATGAGATACCTGAGATCTAGCTGGACTGACAGCTGTGCCACAGAGCAGGCAGAGCACAGCTGTATCTTCGCCCCGCCACTGGGTCCCATCAGGACAGTCTATCTAAACACAAAACCTCCAACAGAAAGAATACATTTACTAGATGTCTCATTAATAGAAATTACATGGAAAGATCGCGTGAAATGGCAGATGGAGCCAGATGATGTGCTATGAAGACAGGCGGAGGATGGGGTGGTGGGGAGCAGCTGTGCCACCCCGCACAGCTCCTCTCCTCCCGCCTGCCCCCGGGCTGGGGCTCGCCTGCTGGCACCGGCCGGCCCCTTCCCGCTCCCCTGCTACAGCTGCTTCAGCCCCCGAGTAAATACATGTGTATTAGCACACACTGAGTAATCAAAGCTGGCAGGTGGGTTTGCCACCAGTCCTGGTCCCCGGGATGTTATTCACTTGCCCAGCGACTTACAGATCCCTCTGCTTCAACTAAGGGAGAGCGCGATGGGGAGCTCCCCTCCCGCAGCCGCTGCCGGAGGCAGTGAAGGCAGGGTGGGCTCTGCCCAGCCAGGCAGCCGGTGGGACCGCTGGGCAACTCGCACCGCTTCCACGCACCAGAGCAGCAGATCCCCGTGCCTCTGCTTCCCGTGGTTTGCCAAGCAAAACAAGCCCCAGCCCTCCCACCAGCTCCCGCAAAGCTCCCTGTGCTTCTGCACAGCCGCCATCAGATATCATTTTCTCAGCTGTGTCGGGTACTTCCAAATAAGTTCCCCAGTGAGAAGATGAGGCCGGTGCCACCACAGTCCTGGACTGGGGTTATCTGAAGCTACTTTCCACCGGGAGCGGGGCCGGGCCGTGTCCCTCTGCCTCAGCATCAGCCTCTCTCGGATCCCACATGCACATGCTGCCCCCTCATCGTGCCGGGGAACAGCCCTGACGAGCGTCCCAGCCCCGACGAGCGTCCCAGCGCAGGCAGCAGCCATTCCCAGGGCGGGGGACACCGCTGTGAAATGTATTTTCCATTTGATATGCTTTTCCCCTTGAATCTTCATAGTCAAAGTACAGCTCTAAAAGCAAAGATTAGGAACTAAGTTGATTTTCGTGTCAGCATCAAGAGCCTCATTTCGGTGAATAATTGCTAAACTATAGTTTGAATTCCCTACCCAAGCAGGACATTTCCTCATTTCACATACCCCGAGTATCTTGTTGCTGCAGCCCATTTGCACAGGAATTACCGTCTCGGGCTTCAGCGTTCGCCCTCACCCACAGATTATTCCTTTCAGATCTATCAGATGCTGAAAATCACATTAATATGAATCAGCTTCAAGGTAGCTTGTTTCTAAATACAGCACACCGACATGTCACCTGCACAGTTTGCTTGACATGTAATCACTTTCATAATGAGCCTGAGCACACGCAGATAAGGTAATTTGTGGAACTGTGTCATAAACTGCATTTATTTTGATTTAGAGCATTGTCCCTGCTCTCTACCCGCTGGTATTTTTTCTAAAATTCTCAATCCACCGCACCTGTCAAATAACAGCTATTTTTAAAATTAAGAGACTGTCATAAAAATGTTTGCTTGCGTCCCCTCCTGTGTGGAAGACCACTCACAGCTCACCGAAGTCACGGGTTCGGTGGCCCTCAGTCCTAAACCAGTGAAGACCACAAGGTCTGACACTTTCCCAGAGATCAGGCTATGAATACAGGTGTCATCTTGTCAAAAATTGAGAAACACAGTATGGTTTAGCAGTTCCTGGCTAATGGCAAGCACCCAAACCTCAGATTTCTAATGTCCTTGAAAAAAGCCATCCAATGCATTAAAAAAAACCGAAAAAAAAATGAATGAAAATTATTGGCTTTACTCTTTCTCCCAGGGAGATGGCAACATTAGGACTGGATGAAATCTTGCTGCACAGATGGGGGGAAAAAAACACTAATTAACATAAACTCTACAAATAATCCAAATTTCCTAAAACTTGTGTAAGCAGATTGCATAACACTGTTGGAGAAGAAAAGACCTTATCGGCCCCCATTTGAAGCACTCCTCTTACTTTCAGATGCTGGTAAAATCTTCGCAACAGCACCGTCTGCAGACACATGCCTTTCCACCGCTCGGTCTTCATGCGGCGGTGGCTGACCGCGACCAGGAGCGGCGGCACACGCAGCACCCGCGCTCCCGAGGGGCAGACCTGGCCGGCCAGGGAAGCACCCGGGAGCTGGCCCAGGGCGCGGCTGCGAGCCAGAGCCAGTCCCCAGAGCCTACCTTCTCGTAGTACTTGACCTCATACTCAGTGCCGTTGGCCGTCGTGTGCTCAACTATCCGTGCGGATGTCGGTGACAGGAGTTGGCACTGAAAAAGCAGAGAGGAAAGCAGTGGGTGCATGCCCCGCACCCTCCCCGCAGCCAGCAGCACCCAAAGCCCCCGCAGCAGCCCAGCACAGCCAGCCAGGCCGGGGGCAGAGCCCCGGGGACACGGCCAGTGACACTGCATGCCACCACGCTTCGGTTACTTTGGTTCTGAACAGCCGAGTAAGCGCAACCAGGAGATCGCACGTTACAGAGAATTTTATCTCTATCCTCATATTCATCTCGGCTGCGAGTCCCATGTCAGCACAAATGTGTTCAGTTGTGGTTACTTCATT